TTCCAATGGGTGGTACTGTTAGAATGTATTTACATTTTCAATAGCAACCACAACAAAACTCACGCTTTTCCTGTTTGCAATTTAAGGACATTTTGAGGTGTTGGTGGAGGACTGCACTTGTGTTTACGTGTGCATAAATTTATGGTTTCAGATATTTACAACAGATTTAGGAAACTTCCTTTGCAAATGTTTAGTTAGATGAAAGAGGGGTGGTACTGTTAGAATGTATTTACATTTTCAATAGCAACCACAACAAAACTCACGCTTTTCCTGTTTGCAATTTAAGGACATTTTGAGGTGTTGGTGGAGGACTGCACTTGTGTTTACGTGTGCATAAATTTATGGTTTCAGATATTTACAACAGATTTAGGAAACTTCCTTTGCAAATGTTTAGTTAGATGAAAGAGGATTACATTATCTCTTCTCTGGGTGAATTGCACCTAGAACTAATTGAAATGAAGGCAGCTAATCTCATTTTAATTTCAATCCAGTCCCATAAATTGCTCCTTCAATGTAAAACCTACCTGCTGATCTGTAAATATTGCAAGGTATATTCATCATTCTCGTGGCTTGCTATTTAAAAATTCAATTATGCCAGGAAACCCTTGGCCTTTTCCTCCCTCCCACCTCCCTCACGTGCACATTTTATTTTAAAATTTAGAGATTTTTGTAAAAGTCTGGTGTGTTGCAGGCTCAAAGGTGCCTGGTAAAAATTCGAACCTCTGAATGTGGTTTCTTGCTGTTAGTCAATACACCTAATTCTTTTTTTAAAGCGATGTCTCCCCTAAAAGATTTTAGTTGACAAAGAAGAGGGGGAAAGCTATATTTCCCCCCAGCTATAACAGGAACCCGGATGCCAAAGGATTTTATGATCTTTTTCCTCTGTGTAACAAAGCAAAGTAATCAATGGTGGCAATAAAGCCATAAACGGAAAAAAAAACCCTCGTGTATTCATCTTCTATAACATTAAGGCTTCCCTTGAGTGTCACTAGGAAAATAAAATAAAGTTTCTAACCGAAAAAGAAGATAGCTAGAAGTACACACCCTGTTATTTAGCACATGTTCTGTCCTGCTGACCACAGTTTGGCTTTCACCCTACATTGCTCAACTTCTGACCAGCTTAATACAGATCTCCGGATTATGCCCAATGGTGAAGGTTTCCTGGGATTTCCCCCAAACGAAGTTGGGTTTGCTTCCTTGGCGCCCCACTTTTCTCCCTCTTCCCCAGTCACTGCACGTGGGGATTTAGGGAAACCAAACACCACGGGACAAAAAAGCTGCATGTGTTATCCCCCTGGTGTTGACATGTAGCACACCCAGCCACATACACATGCAGATGCATGTGCCTGCTGGTAACATATATGTTATATAGGTCATAAGTGGGAATGTATGCATGTATGTAGATGTCCTATAGGAACAGGCTCATTGGAAGCCATGGTTACTTTGGAAACCAAAGACAGCAGTGATATCTGCTGTCACATATGAAACTGTGGCACTGGACAATAAACTGAATTGAATGCATGTATGCATGAATGAATGGAGACTCTTTGCTTCTTCTTGGTATGATGCCTTACCTTATGTATTACTTATGGTCCAAATGCAAGGGAGAGTACATTGAAAACAGCAGAAATCCTTGGAAGATATATGAATCCAGCCCTATATGGGTTTGATTCATGTGGCTTCTTTCACCTATAGAGCTGCATGGAGAAAAATCCCGGTCTTGTTAAAGTTTGGGGGCAAGTCTTTGCTTGGAGGGATTAATTTTTGGATAGGTGCTCCGGAGCTGTTGTATTAGAGACCTGGATGATAGCCGTGGGACAAGAAGTGGAGAAAGTTAAGTGTTTTATTACTTCTCTAAGCAGAGGGCAAGGCTTGAAAGTCTGGTCGATTTATAGTGAACAGAAAACAGCTGCCGTAAAGAAACTTAAAATAGAATGTCTCCCCTCCTGAAAATATCAGGCTTCTTGGGAGCAAAACAAAACAAAAAAAACCCTCCTGCAAATATAAACGAAGCATCATTAGTTTACACTCATCTGATTGTACCCCCCCTTCTAGCCTTTTGAATGCACTGGGGGTTTTATTCCATTTTTTATTTTAAACAGGATTGGGGTTTCTCGAAAGTATTTCATCAAGGAATGTCACTAGCAAAAAGGTATTTATTTTTTCCCCCGTGAAAACATGTACAGGGAAATATTTAGGGCTATTTCTGGTTAAATTGGTCTGCAAACAATTATGTAAACTCATCAGCAGAAGCAAGAACAGATGTTTTATTAAAACTGCTGCACAGCAGTGGAAATATGCACAAGTCCTCGAGTAGTTCTTTAATAGCAGTTGCTCTTTGTTCCCAGAAAATAAAAAAGCCCACAGAAATCTGAAATAACATCCATTTCTCACAAGTCGTATCCCCCCCAGCCCCCAATACACAGACACATTTTCCCTCTCCTCACTCTGATGTTCACAGGGGAAAAAAGAAAAAATATGTGTTGGGAGAATTTTTTCTCTCTCTCCCAGCTATAATTAGCGAATTGATGAACTGATTTAGAAAAAGTCTTCAAAAAATGCAGTCCAAACACATGTGTTTTCTATCCCCACTAATTACTGAAAGGAAACAAACCCAAATCTCCCCCCTCCCCCCATACACACCCTACAGCCTTAATAAAACGCTACTGTCAGGTTCGTATGCTGCTTAGATCCTGAATGCAAATTCAGACGTCTGTTTGTTTGTTTAAAGAGGGAATGGGTTTTGTTGTTTGGTACAGTCAGACTGACCAATAACACAATTGTAGTCCAAAGCAATCCGTCTGTGAGCCAGCGCGTTGCCTGGCTGTGGAAATCGTAAATACAGGTTGTGCCTGGGTGCTTTTAATATGCACCAAAAGTTAATATGGTTCAGAACTGTTTACTTGGCGTTCCTACGCAGTAGGGCTATCCATGTTAGCATTCTCTGTGTGAGAGCCACGACGAAATGTTTGCATTTTGAATCCTCAGATTCGAATTCCACGTGTGTGCGAGAGGCACTAGAGAGAGTGTTTACAAAGATAGTTTATGCTTTGAATATATGTGTTAATTATAAATATAGGTATGTGTATGTATATGCACTACCTGTACAATCTATGCATTATATAGAACGAATGTGTATAGTCAAACTAGAAATTCTTCCTGCACATACATACCTACATACAAGAGAGGAATGCATCAACACGCATATATACACACACAACATATAAACTAGAGAGAGAGAGAGGTGCGGTGCATTTATATCTGAGCTGAATATTATCTCATTGTTAGAAGTAAACACGTGATGTCGTTAAAGCTCTTCCTAGTTTTAGCTCATCTCGCCTTATGTATGTTCTCTCCCTCTTTTTTAACCTTGACATATACTGCGCACGTGAGTTCTTGCTTTCTAATTATTTATATGCCTGTTTTTTTTGTAGGAAGGGTTTTCCAACTTAAATATTGCTGCTATTGCAAAGAACTCCCATGAAAAAGAGAGAGAAAGAGAGAGAGAGACAAAAGCGAAAATCTATTTGGGGATGACTTGACACATATGTGCCATGGGCCACAATTTCCCAACCTGAAATGTTTTGCATTGTTTTGAGTCGCTCTTCCCCCTAAAGTTGTATTGCAGCAATTATACCTTAGAACGAAGAGTCTGGCAGCTAGAAGAGGAAATCTAGCCTCTCCTGCAGCCCTTCTGTTCAGCGCTGGGTGCACTGTTCAAACTTTATTTCAGTGTTGCAGACAGATAGTTTTGAAAGGGGTAGGCTATTTGGCAGGTTTATTTGCCACTTCAAGGCATCTTCTTGACAAAGATGCACAGAATAATAATTAGCACTAATAGCGTTCTTTCTTTCTTCATTTTCACTTCTTTCCTAGAAGATAATAATAAAATAATAATAAAATAATAATAATAAATAATGCTGCTATTACTATTACAGAAACGCCATTTATGCAGTCCTGCATGTAAGTGTGTATAATATCTCTAAAGACGGTTTAAAAAGACGCTATTCATTGTAAAGTGTATCGCAAATTTGGTATAATTAGAAGGAAGGGCCATTTCTGCACACTAGCCATCTGTTGAAAGAAAGAAAGAAAGAAAGAAAGAAAGAAAGAAAGATTCTGCCTCTCGCCTCAGTATTACCACACGCAGAAAAAAAGTTCCTTCAAATTTTACTTCAAAATTGAAGAAAAAAATAATAGTTCTAAGATAATATGGAGGCATAGTTTTCTCAGGTTTGCCACCGTCATTCCGTAATATCTGCACACTTTTCCAGGACCAAAAAAAAAAAAAAAAAGACGATGGGGGGGGGACACACAAATTAAGCTATTTAATTTATTCTCTTTTTTCTCCCAAAGTTTGAAGTTCTTTCTGACGTAGTGGAGCGTTTGCTTCTAGTCCTTTGAATTCATATTGCAACTGAAATCGAGGGTTACTATGCCTGAAATACTATTGCTAATTGTGGATTTTTTTTCCCCCTTACCAGATTTATTGGTGGCCCGCACGCCTCCCAAAAGAAGCCAGAATCGAACCCTCCCGAGAAATGGAACTCCCCTTTGTCTTAAACTGCCAAGTAACATTGTTGCTGCTAAAATTAGCTTCACGTGCTCTTGTAACGATGAGTGGTGTATGGATGTAATCCAGTTTTCAATGTCACAATCACGTCAAATGTTTGATAATTAAATGCACTTATGAATAAATATTCTCAGAGCTGGGGAAAGCCCAACGCGTTGATCAATGTAAAATAATGGAGTGTTGCACTGTGTATCTGCAAAAGAACCCTTTGTAATCCCAACAGAGGGACAATTGTGTTGCTTTATTTTGATCTAGGAAAATGCATTTCTCCGCCCGTTTTCTAGTTTGAGGGAAGCGTGCATCCGACTATATCGCATGCAAACTCCTAGTGCCCCTGCGCATTTCAGAAAATCTTGTTTAACCTGGCTTTTCTGTCTGGTTGCCTAGAAATATCCTTACGATCAT